GTATTAGTTTTGTAGGGTCTTCCAATGGTTCTGTAACTCATGTCGTCTCATGATGAAATGCTCTAACCAGCTAAACAAAATCCCTACAAAACCAATACTTGAAAATATATCATTTCTATTTTAGAATAGCTATTTCCTAATAGTCTGTTTGTCGACCTTCTTTCACTTTCTGCCCCAGAATTCACCATCCACTTCGCATATCTGCTACCACTAACTTAACTCCTATCATTCCACATATTAATTTAATCGGAAGAAATATTCTACAGAGAACAGTTTCACTGATAACATTATCATCATTGTTACTGTTATTATGATTACTATAGTCATTAAAAAAAAGCAGGAAAGTTGTTGTTCTAGCTCAGTAAATTAGTTGTCAGTGATAATCTATTGTTTAGATGAATGCTAAAAATTCCCAAGTGTATTTATTATCACACACCAATATATACACTTACTTATATAAGTATATATATGTATATTTATATTGTTACACATAATAGAACATCAGGGTTGTAAATTACTTAACTGATAATATACATGAGAAGTTTTTTTTTTAAACAACACCCTTCTAGTTTATTTTCTTCTTATCAGAAAAGCTTATCTTTCTGTTTCTTAGTGATATATATATTATATATGTATACATAATAGTGTAATGATACGCTGTCATACACACTTTTTCTTGTTTATGCTTTTATACCAAATATCTTCAGAATATTCTATGACAGAATTAAATATAAATTTTGATATATATGGAGTAGGTTTAATGGAATTCCATAAAGATGGTAATAAAGTTATTGTAAATGCTTTAATATTCAGTATTATTATTATTCCGTTTGTTTTTTAGTGGAGCACAGGGATTCAGTAGGACATTTCTATTTCATTCTGTCCTCTGTCGACATTTTTAAGCTCACTTCACGATTTCCCATGTACTTTCGCTTCCTCCTCGTCGTTATTTCTCACTCAGGCTTCACTCAGGGGCCTGGTATTATGAACAGGCAACCTGAATGCGCAATAAGACTGAGATTGAAACAGAGTAGGATAAGGATGCCGAGTTGGATTTAGACACATTAATCACTAATACTGCTACACTACGCCAACAAAATTTACGACAGTTGCCTGCTTCTCCGGCCCGCACTATTTAAGTGAGAACATACAACGACGTGAATCGCAAAGTACATTTTGCGCAATAATGTGTGCTACATAATATCACCAAGGATACGTCACTTAGTAAATGAAATTCACAATTAACAATCTACACAGTTCATGAGGTGAAGTTTTACCGTATCGTTGTTGGTTGGGGGAACCGAATTATTCGGTTGTCTGAGCTAAGTCCAACCGTCCCCGAACGAAAGAAACGGCCGTCCGGTGTTTAGATCGCCTTCATCTGGCTAGCAAGCACTACTAGTTTATATATGTGGTATACAACTACTCATCTCAATCAATTAGTAGTATATAGTTTATATGCAAATATGTCAGTTAGTTTACAATCATCATCAATGAATTAGTGGGCTTCATCTCGCGGAGGCCAATTCTAATTGGTTAATTTTCAGACTGGAAATCGATCACTATATCACCAACAAAAGATAATCCTTTGTTTATCTGTCTAGTTATCACCTGATGAGTCATGTTACTTGACGATCATCTCAGTATGCAGCCAGTCCATCTGTATTTTCCCTCGGCATATGTGTTAGGCTAAAAACTCTCGGTTGGTTCGTCACTGGAGTTTCTTGTTGCTTCTCCTTATGGTTTAGACGTTTGAAACGATCGATACTAGATCCCGATTGTAGTGGGAAAATACTATCATTTACTTGGGTGAGGTAGGTGCAAGTAAATCCAGCAGACCTGTACCAGAAATAGGACTAAATGGGCGTCGTGGCTTGCACTACTACTTAATATCATTCAAGCATTTTGAATATATAAACATATTTGATCTACTATAATTCATTTTAGCGTATATTATACCCAAATTTGTCCTACTATCTAAATAACCCTCATTCTGTTATACTCAGTGAAGAGATAAATATATCCCATAAAGTTTTATCTATGCAAAATTACTTTCTAGTAGCTTTTTAATAAATAAAAAATAAATATATTAATTAAGTAATTTAAATAAATAATGAATATTTAATTAAGCAAAAGGAATATTCTTTTTCTTCTCCCCTTATCGTATGAATATATCGTCTAATATTAAATTATGATATTCCCTTCCCTAATTTATCCCAACAGTAGTTTCTTTTGAAGCTTTTTTGAGGTCCATTTCATTCTTCTGATACACACAGGTTATAGGTTTGATGACGAGTTGACATCTGTTAGAGAACCACTGGAGAATCAGGGAATACAAGACAGCTGCTTTATCGTGGTTTGTGACTCTTTATCAGTACTCACCCAACGGGGTTTGAACACAGAACGCTTCGGTTACAAGGTGATCTCATAGACGGGCATTGATGTAACCAATCAAATTCCTTTGAAACCAACACTTGAAAATTAATCCGATGCTCACTACTGAATGACGTCCTACAGGAAGTTACCTAAAATTCTAGTGAAAAGCCGTGCCAGTGTGGTGCACCTAGTCAGGTAAGAGGACGATCACTAGCCGATTGACATTGCTCTATATATATATATTGCGAATTAGCAGGTGTTCCACTTCATGAATGATTGGATCAGATCCCAGTGACTTCATGATCTCCAAGCTCTGCCAGATACCGGAAAGCTCTGAGTTAGGACCCCTGTGGATGGTTCCCCTGAAGAGCCCCAAACTAGGACAAAACAGATTTGCAGTACTAATTGGTTATTTAGTCATCCTCTAAATATAATCAGATTGAACAGTGGCTTAGAGAAGAAGTTTTAAACATGGAAAAGGGCCGAAATTCAGAATTTTGGATTTCTTTCTCCAATAATCACGTTTCATAAGTCTATCTATTCGTCTATTTTTCATACCAACAGTGCCAGTTTCTTTTATATCAGTCATACTTGTCAATTTTTTGAAGAAGCAATTACAGCTGTGTCATCTAGACTCACTTGTTTTGCCTGGAATAACTGTCGTCGTGAGGTGTTTTTTCAGACAGTGAGATCGTAAAATAGACATACTTAATACATATAAATATGACAGTTCCTTCCACACATATGTGCAGTTTCATACTTTACACCCATTTGAGCAAATATTTCATTTCACTGGTGTAGTAATATTCAAGTTTAGTAATTAATTTCACAAGGGAATTATTTCTAATTCATTTAACACACAGTTATATGATTAAATTTTATATTTTGCTCACTAAAGCATCCACCGTTACTTTTCCTGTAAGACATAGTCTATAGTATTCACAAATTTAAATTCAGCTTTTTCGTGACACAAAGTTTAGATGGTATTTGAGAAAAAGACTAATTCCCAGGAGAGCTTGTCATGTCTTTGAATGTTTCTGCATGTAAAGTAATTCTGACCTGTAAAACTAACTTTTTGATATAGTCAACCAAGAATAGGATGATAGTTCTTTGGCTAGACAGAATTTTCGATGGAAAGAATAATCTATGATCCTGTTATCGTTTGTAGTAATGAGAAACTTAATGAGATTTTTATGCTTCTTTAGTGGTATTTATCAACAGTCATATACTTGTATGAAATACATAGTTTCAAGATATAGTGATGTATACTGAATGCCTGGATTGCATATCACAACGATCCAACTGGATGCACTGGTTGGAACGGATATTCCTGAGGGTATTACGATATCAGAAAGGCAGTTTGGATAGAGATTAGACTAAAAACAGTTAACCTCGTAGTGTAAGTCATTCACACTATGTTGCGAGTCTGCGGGTGATGTTGTACTGCTGGAGAATAAGGATATAACAGCAATAAAGTGTTTACTTCAGTTGACCAGCAAATCATTTATACTGCCTCTCAAGCTTACCTCTTTGAGGTAAGACCTCAGTATGGTTAAAGCTTGCAGAACCCCTTCAAACATGTCCTCTTTGCTTTACAGTCATATATTACTATTACTCCTTCTGTTTTAGGTAGCTGTTATAGTTCTTTGTTTGCTTTATGGAGTGTGGCAGTTTGAACTGATGCACTTCTATACAAAGTTCTATGTTGAAACTCATTCATTCAGTCAGCTAGTCTAGAAAATGCATGTTCTGTTTGGTTTCCCTATACATACTATTTCTTACCTCTTTCGTCCACTTAGATTAGCTTAGCATTACAAAATGACCCCATTGAAATTCTGGCCAGGACAGAAGCCTATTTTGTGTTAGTTTAAGAGGATACTAATATCTAAGATTATTGTATCTATCCAGGTCAAGCTCACTTGGTTAGCGTTTAGTCACTAAAACTGTATGTTGAAAACAAATTCGCTATAGGTGTTGTTAAACTGTTGTTTAACGCCAATGTCAACTGTGTGTTGCAATTTGTAATCACAGAGTTCAACACTGCATGCATCCTATTGTTATACATGTAGTCACAAAGTCCTTATTTGCATGAATAATGTTCTTTTTGTTTTGCTTTTGATTTCTTTGTAAATGATGATCTATTTTCTATAGTTGGTTTGTAAGAGTAAGTTTTGTTTTTACGATGACATTGGTTGGGTTCGCGCTAAATCACGGATTGGTAGAAGTTAGAATTCATGGGTTGGCCATTGAATCGGGTCCCAGTTGCTGAATGGTATACGAGTTTGCCTTGTAACTCGAAGGTCCTGGGTTCGAACCCTGTTGATGGAGGTGTACTGGTGATGATTCCCGAAACTAGGATCAAACAGCTGTCCAGCACTCCGTGGTTTTCAATGGTTCTCTAACTGATATCAATCTGTGATAAACTCGTAAAAACAAAACTAACCATTACAAACCAAACTATAGAAAATTAATCCGATGCTCGCTTGTGACTTGCTACAGGATGGAGTTTCCTGCAGTTCTAGCGAGAAGTCGTGACCAGTGAGATTATCTATTTGTTAAATGTATTCTCATCTATGTATTATTTATTGTGTAGCGTGTTTCTGCCTTCTTTAATTCATTGTTAGGACCAAACAAGTGATAAAACACCAAGGAAAGATCAGGTAAGTTATTCGTATTTTCATACAGTTATTCCCCTTAATGAATTTGAATAAAGCAAGTGCAATAGTTTTAGCAGAATAAAGTGGTACAATCATTTATTTTGTTGCCTTCTCGTCAGCTGCTTACAGGGCAAAGACATTATTAAATATATCTACAGAAACAATTTTCACATACTTGCACAGAGTTCGTTTTTAAACAAAAATCAATCAATAAATATATGCACACAGTAATAACATATGCATATATATGTAATATTAAACATTATTCCGAACAATAATTATCATAGACAATGGAGACTTTCGACATTTCGTAATCACATGAAAGAGAGGTGAAAATATCCAGTTACCAGGGCAAAGAAAGACTGATAACTGTTTCTTCCTGAACGCATAAATCAGGTTTGGTTTGTTCACAATAGTGTTTGATATTATTATATATATGCATATATTATTACTGTATGCATATATTGATTGATTTTTGTTTAAAAACGAACTCTGTGCAAGTATGCTAAAATTATTTCTGTAGATATATTTAATAATGACTTTGGCCTGTAAGCAGCTGATGAGAAGCCAACGAAATAAGTGATGGTACCATTTTATTCTGCGAAAACTCTTGTTCTTGCTTTATTCATATTCGTATTTAAAAAAAATATGTTTGCTTGATAATTTGTTATCTATGTTATATCGGATAAGATATCTAATGGTTAGTTTCAGGTGAATAATTTTTAGAGTACTGAAATATTTTGACACTTTTTAGTGACATCATACTTTACACTTCACCTGATTTCTTGTATTAGGGTGAAGAATACTGATTAGATCTTTTAAGTGATGATATAAATTCGTTAAAATCACAATGTGTCTTTCAAAATTCATGGATAACTTTATTTAAATTACATTATCATGAATAATATTTTCAGTATTTTTATTATATTTACGCGTTGAAGTCTCTGTAGCAGTTTGGTTAAGTTTTGGGTGTGGAGTTGCTAGTACCACGCCCCAACCCTCCCTTTTTAACCGGGCTCGGGACCAGCTAGAAAATTGGCGAGCTAGTAATCTAGGTGAGGTGTGTCAATGGCTTAGTGGTAGAATGCTCGCCAACCATGTTTATGGACCGAGGTTCGATCCATGGGCGACGCGCCCCTTTACCTCACGAGGCCGGTGATAAGACCAGTAAGGCTGGAAAGTTTAGGATGAGGTAAGCAGCTTCACCCGGTAAAAACAAACACCCCTTCGGCTACTGAAACTGCAAAGCTCTAGCTTGAGGTCCTATGTCCTCCTGGGAAAGTAAAGGGATAAAAAGATTAAAAAAAGAAAAGAATCATGAACAATGTATACGTACGATAAGTATTCACCCACTGTATAGAATTAATTTCAATATCCTTGCGTGCTTTTAGTTTACAGATTCCAATGCATCTGATTACCTCATTATAAGTATTATTATCCTACTTTATGAATTTATGCAGAGTGTTGTTGTTGTTTCTAATCTGACTGATAATAACTGAGATCTTTGATAGTTTGTGTCTCTTTTTATTTCAGTAATTTCTCAGAATCATTAATACTACTTTGGTTGTTTATTTCTACTCAAAACTTTCAGTTACTTTATATTAATTAATTATTTTTGACTGTTCCCTTCCCTTTGGGTTCCACGTGAAATATATAGCTTCAATAGCAAATCTCCGTTTCAATCTGTTCTCTGTAGTTCTCTGAAGCTGACTCCATAACTACCCCTGAACTTTCATCGCATCCTCACACTATCTCCGCCATATCACCCTTGAATGTCCATTTCGTCTTTTCTTATTCAGGTTACTCTCGAGGGTCTGCGTCGCACGTCGTAATACTTAGTGGCTTCCTCAGCATATGATTAATTCATCTCTATTTTCTTTCGCAGATTTGTAAGACGATAGCTTTTTGGTTGCTTCGTTGTCAGAATTCATTGGTTGCATATCCTTTCTAGGTGTCCATTTCATCTTCACTAACGAGCAAGATGCTTTCTGTAAAACTAGCGCCAATTCTTTGAACCAAATCTGCGCACTGTCCTTATGCGAACAAAGCTAATTTCCACGCCGGTTTTTTAAAATTATTTTATTATAGCTTGATTTTACACAGTATTTTTGATACATGTATGGAGTTTACAGCATGTGATATTGGTAGCCCAAATTTAGCAGGTCGACCATTAATATCAAGTGTGCGTTGGCCAGGGATCGAACGTCAGACCATGTGCATGGTTGGCCGGCTTCCTAACCGCTGTGAAGGTCTACTTTGCTTTTTCAATCCTCCTTTTGATAACCTCATGTGTCCCGCCTGTAGTCACGACGATAGTGCCTAGATGTGTCAAGTGAATCCCTTCAAATTTCTCCTGTTGGTGGTGATTTGTACTTGTTGTTGTTGTCGTCGGTAGTCAGGTATCTTTATCGTCTTTGTCTCTTTTTGTATTCACCTGAAGTCTTGTCTTCGCTACCTCTTCAGTCGAATTGTTAGTTTCAGCTTGTAGATCTTCGAATTTCTGTGAAATTACACACAAATCATCCACGAAGTCCAGATCTTCCAATATCTCTTTGTCAGTTCAACGTGTGCCTGTCTTTATAGCAGCCAAATACTCTAAAAAAATACTTTTTTGGTTTCCTGATAGTTTCGAAAAAATAATTTTTCCAACTGCATAAAAAAGTCTCAACTTCATTATTTCAACTGCTTAAACTGCATTAAATACAAATGAAATGGAGACTTGCAAACTTTGATAAAGTCAGTGTATGAGTATATATGTTTCATCAGACACCATTACGCTTCAATTCACTTAATCTTGTTTTAATCAGAAGAGTTCACTCACTGGAAAAGAAAAATATAAGTCTGTAATTACATCGGATGAACACATTTCATATAAAATAGAATTCGACCCACTGGTTACTGGCTAGTCGTATGTTCAGTGGTTGAAAAACTGTCAAAAGGTTCATGGATTAGACATTATAAAAATCTAAACTTCAATCTCCGTAGATCAAGTTGCGTCTAGTTGTAAAAACCATCAAAGATTGTGAAAGAGAGAATATAAAGAATGTTCAGGTTACTTTTTTCAGTAATGAAATGCGAACTGTTCTTTTGAAACAACTAGCATGCATAGAAGATTGGGAAATCTCTCTTAAAAAGTGTCTAAATATCAATATATGTGTAAAACTTGGGCACTATAGTAGTAAGTAATTCCATATTAATTTGTTTATTAGATGTATCACACTGTGAAACAGTATCATTTACTGGATGACGTTTCGAACAAAGTGTATTGTTCATAATCATACCATCAATTATGATCACATGACTTCGAAACTTGAGTTTTATAGTTTTCTTTGTCCTCTCCTATTTGTCGTAGGGGTTGTAGAATTCTCCAGATATCTGGGACAGGTGTTTGCAGTTTATTTGATAAACAAAGCTTCCGGTATAAATGTTTATAGGAAACCCACTTATTCAAACAGATATTTGAACTTCCGATCATCCCATCCTATGTCAAGTGAAAGTAGGATTGGTAAAATGTTGAAGTAATACGGCAGAAAAAATAAGTAGTACCAAGGAAAATCTAAGACAGAAAGTGAGGCGTATAAGAGAAGCTTTAAAACTTATTAATTACCCTGATAAATTAGTCAAAAAGTATGTAGGGAAATGTAAAAATAAAATAAATAATGATAGTAATGATAGTGATAATAATAATACTATTAATGACGACATGCATGTCAAATATGCGCAAGACGACACCAACAATAAGGAATCTAAATCATCAGTAGTAATTCCATACAAGGAAGGAACCTCGGAAACCTTACGCAGAATTCTTAACAAGGCAGGCAGTAATGAAAGTGGCATTCAAACCCACAAACTCAATTAGAAACAAGCTTTGTCGGTTAAAGGATCCTGTAGAGCCTTTAAAACAAAACAATTTAGTTTATCTAATACCCTACCTGCAATGATTGTCAGGTTAAATACATAGGTCAAACTAGTAGAACAGGGGCAGTCAGACTAGCTGAACATAAAAACCTAGCAAAATCTAGATTGGTTGACCCGAATAAGATAAGAAATCTAGAGAATAGTTCAGCTATACCACTCACTACATGCAGTTACACAAAACCACACAATAAGATGGGATAAGATGACAGTTTTGAAATCTAATGTCACAGGGTTGAGGGAGAGATTGATAACAGAAGCTTTGTTTATCGAATCAACTGCAAGAAATACATGTAATAGGAATGATTCAACACCTGTCCACCCGGAAATCTGGAAAATTCTACTACCCCTACGACAAATAGGAGAGGACAAAGAAAACTATAAAACTCAAGTTTCGAAGTCGTGTGATTATAATTGATATGATTATGAACAATAATAAATTGTGTTCGAAACCTTGTCATCCAGTAAATAATACTGTTTCACTGTGTGATATATCTAATAAACAAACTAATATGGAATTGCCTAATATGTCGTCAGTATACAGGTAACCACATTATATCAGACGATACTGTAGCTGAACGGAGCTTAGAAACTATGTGAAATAAACAGTTGTCGCTTGTCTTTGGTGCCAAAAGAAATATTTATCAAACTATGAAAGGATAAATACATAAGGCAAAGATGTGCTGCACATTTTTATGTATCTAAACTTCCATTCGACTTAATTATTAGTTGATTAAGACAAAATATATTAGCGGTACAAACAATGAGTAAATTAATCAATGACATTTTTAAATCTATACTGCTTAACATACTTAAAACTTGTACAGTGTGAAGCTAAACTCTGTGTACTCTATGTACACTGAATATTCAATTGAAATAAAAACAGTAATAAATCGACTAATTCTCAAAGTAAGAAAAAAACATTTTATGTCCAAATGTAGAACGACATACTGAAGTATCTCAAAATCAGCTAAATGCTTAAAGAAAGCAAAAAAAACGATTGTTTTGAAGTGACTTTCGATTAAACAATGATTGGCAAATGATAAGTGTCGGAAAGCAAGCTTTGTCCACATTCTGTTTACTTTCTGTCACTTGTCTCGTTTATAATATAAATTGACATAGAAATGTTTAAGTGCGGTATAAATCAAGCATGCCTAGAGTAATAAAACAGTCACTGGAGTTATAAGGGAAAGGAGCAAACATCAGTTTCATGAAAAAAAATTCACCATATATATGTATGTCAGTGAATTTAACTTCAGCCTTCTCAGCGAAAAATTAGAGTACTCATTTCAATAGTTAACACAGTTGTTTAAATGCCTACTCAGATAGTCTAAAACCACAATCAAAATAATGCTAAAATGAGACTTGGGAATATAAAACTGTAGCGTCGGTGGCATAGCGGTTAGTACGCTCGCCGACCATGCATATGGTCCGGGGTTCGATCCCCGGCTGACGCACTCCTTTACCTCGCTAAGTCAGAAATAAAGCTGATAAAGAGAGAAGGTTGGGCATGAGCCTCTAGCTTGAAGCCCTATGTTCCACTGGGAACGTGAAGGAATAAAAAAAAATCTTGAAACTACACACACCACTATGTATATTTGCTTTACTATACAGATAACCAGTAGCTTCATTTAATTATCATTTCATTAATGGTAATATAGAAGTGGATGATAAGTGTATAGAGTCGAGATTCACGTAGTAAGGTGTAGACTGGATGAGTGAGGTCCTTGAAACGCCAAGAACTAGTAACTGAAGACTACTGGTGACATGACTCAAAATCGTAATTAGCGATACAAATGCTTCCATTCCGTGTGATCTTGTAGACTCATTCCATTCACATTACTGTCTATGAAACTATTCTTTCTCTCACACATATTTCTTTTTGTGTGATGTTATGATATGTCAAGGCTTGAACTGCTTTATCTTTGTACGACGTTCTACTCCAATGGTAAAGATGTTAGTATGAAGTCGAAAGTTTCGACAGTTTAGAAATTTTTGTAATAATCAGGCACGTAGGCCACTCAGCCACTGGGACCCAGTTTGACGACTCCTTGAAATCTAACTTCTGTCAGTTCACAATTTTAGCAAAAGCAGCGGTACTACCATGTTTTCAGTGGTTCTCTGACTGATATTAATCCGCGATTAAACTTGAAACAAAGCGAATCCCTACAAACTAACTCTCGAAAATTAGTCTGATGCTCACTGGTGAATGGCTGCAGGAGGAGGTCACCTGGAGTTCTACTGAGAAGAGAAATACTCTCCCGTGATATTGGCTAGTGGTGGCGCTAAAATCACGAATTGATAGACATTGGAATTTACTGACCATTGACTGAATGGTTTACGAGTTCCCTCTGTGACCGTAAGGTCTTGGGTTCGAATCCCGGTGGATGTATACTGATGAAGTGTCTCAGATTAAGACGAAACAGCTATCCAGTACTCCCTAGTTTTCATTGGTTCTCTAGTTGATATCAACCCGTGGTCAAACTCGAAACAAATCAAACACTTGATAAATCATCTGGTAAAATGATGAAAATGTTTTAAAATTTCTGAATAACTAAACATTGTGAAAGATTTACTACCGTAAGAGACGATTATTGCAGTCTGAGATTCACATCTGCATAGTAATCTATCTTTTGTCCAACTAAAGTTTAGTCGTCAAATCAGTTTTTTCTATGCCTGTTATTTCTAATATTGAAATAAATAAATGTCTACGCCCATTTAGTGAAAATAAGTTTGTTTTTATCAGTATAATTTCGTATAGTTCTATTAAACTTTCTGCTAACAATTACATTTTCTGTCTACATTAATGTGTCTCCATTTAGGAAGAAGATGCTAGAAAACCTAAAAAACCAGGTAGGTCTATCAAAAATGGTACTAAAAATTTTTTAAATATGAGTATATATATTTATGTGTTTTAATTATTTTGCTTACCTTGATTAGTATCAAAATACATTCTTCTTACATTCTATATGCACTCCGAGTGGAAAATAGGGTTTTGAAGTTGAGTTTTGAAGTCTCCGTAACGGTGTTGTTGTTCATTCACACAGTCGAGTGTAGTTAGCGTCGTCCTCAACCTCCCATTTGTACCGGGCCTACTATCGTCTATTCGAGGTTTAGAAGTGCTTCAGATGGGACCGCAAGCATAATCAGTGGGCATTCTACGAGTGAATCATCGGTACACAACTCAAATTCTTATTGCATACAAAATATGATAAAATAGAAATTGAGTTTTGAAGCAGTAAAGGAAGTCATAAAATAATGACAAAAGAAATTAGCTTATTAGGTATAAATTAGCATTAAAATGCATTTTCTGTAAGTAGCATCATGGATCCTAATAAGAAGTGTGAAGTAAACTTCTCCCCTAAAACATCTATCATTACTAATCTCTCTTAGTGGGTTAGACTTAAAGATAAAAAGTAGAACAGAAAAAGACAATTCATGACACGAAATGCTTACAGCAGGGCATATCACAAATTTAAGCAACTTATATGATGCATCTCCATAATATATTTTCTATGCGTTGAAGTTTCTCTAGCCGTTTGATAGGTTTAGTGGTGCGGGGTTGCTAAACTCACTCCCAACCGTCCCTCTTTACCCGGGCTTGGCACCGGCTAGAAAACTAGCAAGCTAGGCGAGGGCATAAATTAAGGAAACCGTCGAATGACATCGCTATTGCTCAAGTGGAATCCAAATGGGAAGCGATGAGTGGGTCGTCCTAGGGTGAAAGAGATGAGAGAGTTTGGGTAACCCTGGATCCAGCTGAAGAGGGTGGCAGAAAATAGAAGAGATTGGAGATGTGTTGTTGAAGCCCTATGTTCCACTTGGAACCCAGGGGAACAATAATAATAATAATGTATGATGCAATTTTCTGATCATTTCATTTTTATCATTTGTTGTAAAGAAAAAGACAGAGAACTCAAGGTTTACATATGATTTCAGTATTGATCACCAACTGACTTCAATAAGCGAATCACTGAAATCCAGGGAGTATTAGATTGCTATTTTGTTCTAGTCTGGGACTCTTCAGCACTTCACACCCATGACACCACCAAGGATAAGACCCAGGATATTGAGGTGAGGTACAATGTGAGCTAGTAGACCAATAGCACAATAAGACGGAACCCGATGGATCATGAGTTCTAACTTCTGCCAATCTTTGATTGATAGATAGATAGGTAGAGCGACCGCTAGCCAATGTTACTGGCCAGTATTTGTCCCTACACTCAGCCTGGTGGACCCTGCTTTTCATGCTGGTCACATACACTGCAACTTAACTGTGTGACTTATATCGCAATTATATCGCTCATGAAAAATTTAAATCATTTCACTTTATGCTAAATATTGCGCTGAAGATGTTGTCCAGAAGGACGACGAAAGCTCCGCAACTAAACCAACCAGCTCAGAGAACTTTAAAAGTGTGACTTATTGTTATTTACTACTCAAATAAATTCTGTCTGCAGATTTATTCTCAAACTACAAAAAAAATCCCACATCTTTACATTGGCAGTTCAGTCAGAAAACTCTAAGTGCTGTTGGTTCCGTATAAAAGTTAATTCTGTTCTACTGTCTGCGGGGATCAGTAAAGAAAACTGTCCTAATTTAATGAATTTTTGTCTATTGAATATTCCGAAGAGTAGACATATATAATTTTTTTTCAAAGTGACTCATAAGACTAAATTAATTTTTGTTAAATAACTTTAAGAACATGAATTATTGCTCATAAGAGAATAGCCATACTGTTCCGCAGTCAGAAGATACTATTTTATAGCTTATAACTTTATTGCTAACAATATTATCAACAGATCGTGAATATTATATACTAATATTGTTTGTTTTTTTGTTGATTTCAGAATCTGACGGTCAGCTAAAAGAATCATGAAAAGCAGAAATGAATAAACAATGAGCAAACATTTCACTTTACTTTCTCTTACCTCTCTGATATACTACTGAATAGTGTCGCACATTTTCTTCTCATAATAAAATATTCTCATCTTATCACGTTTTAAATCATATAAATATATACATACCTGTATGCATTAGACATTGTTTCCCTCAACAACGTAATTGATAACCTTAATAACAAATAAATATTCTGTCTTGCTAAGCTGATGGCTTATGACTGTTAAAAAAACACATTAATATCACACAATTTGTGTAATTCTTGTAGTTTTCTTTCAGGCATTCATTTTGACACCATAATCTTCATGAAATCCGTCGAAATGCGTCCATTCATTACTGACATTCATTATTATTATTACCATTATCTGATTTGTTTTGGTGGTGTTCATCTGTTTCCTTTTCATTTTTTGTTATCTTTATTTCTGATCTTTTTTTCTTGGCTCATAAACTTTAGTTTTTGCAAAAAAAATGTAAAGTAGCTTACTTTTTATTCTGTGTGCTACGTTTCTTTTTCTTCGTCTTCTTCTTCTAACTGTTGTCATCTGTTTCCTTCGAAGTTGTCCAGCACTTTTTTTCCTTTCTATTCTCATAAATACAGTATAGATGCATATTTCCTCATTGATGTAGCATTAAAAGTGAATTATTAAAGTTTATATGTATACAATAATATGCATATCAAATATTATATACATGTTTGAGTTTATTACTGCTACTACTCTTAATCAGTCAGTTAATGGGGTGATGTGTCTAAAAACGATCAAAAACGAAGAGGTTTCCTTTTCAATGAGCCGATTATGTTGCTCAGGTAAAAACGATTAAATTTTCCTGTATAAACAGTATTATTATTATTCTTTTGGGTTCCGAGTGAAACATACAGCTTCAACAACATATCCCGAATTCAGTCAGTTCTCTGAAGTCCTCTTTAGCTTTTATTTTCTCCTCATACAATCTACTCCATGTCAGGCTAAAATACACGCAAAACCTGTTGCTTCCCATTCGGCCCTGGCATGTGACACTACTCAATGATCTCCTCAGCGCTTGTCCAACTCATCTCCATTTTCATGTGTTGGTTTGCAGGGATTTGATTTGATTGGTTACAATATTTCATCGTGGACTGATATCAGTTAGAGAACCATTGGAAAACCTAGGAGTGCTGGATACCTCTTTCGCCCTAGTTAGAGATTCTTCATCAGTATACACCCACACTGCGGGGTTCGAACCTTCCGATTATGAGGCGATCTCGTAGATAGGTCGTGACCAGTGGGGTACAGCAAGTCGGATGCGGGGACAGATACTCGCTGACGACATTGGCTAGTGGTCGCGCTAATTCGCAGAAGTTTGAATTCATGGGTGATCGGATCGGGTCCCTGTGGCCTAATGGTCTATTAGCTGGCCTTGTAGCCAGAAGGTCCTGGGTTTGAAACTTGATGGTTGGGTGCCGATGAAGAGTCCCTAACTAGGACGAAAGAGTTGTTCGGTAATCCCAGGTTTTCCAAAGGTTCTTTAACTGATATCAGCTCATGATGAAATCCTGTAATCCATCTCCATTTTACTCATCATATTTGCTGAGCAAAACGTTCTTGACTGGTTCGTTCCATAGTTCCTTGTTGTTTATCCTTCCTGGCCATTTGATCTTAATTATGGGGTGAAGGCAACTGTTGACAAAAGTCTGCAGCTCGTCATCGGAAATGCTTTTCGTGATGCATTAAGTTTGTGACAGTAGCAGAGATGATTACGATGATTTACAATAACGCAGTGTTAATCAGCAACCATGAGATCGAGAGATACAAACGAAGAAATGTAGTAAATGAAAACACATTATGGACTTCGGATCATATATGAAGTTTTATTACTTAATATGCTCTTAGAAATGACATTTCACCCACGTTTTCAAGGAATCTCAAAATAATCAGGTTACGATGAGTTATCTGGTGTTGTAATCAATGGCTAAGAAAACATTTGTAAAATATCAAGACGGTACATAACTGCCTATTGGTATAAGCGGCTGGAAATCGCCTAATTCAATTCATATAGCATGTTAGCAGGGTGAGAGTGACCTAGATACAGGACAGTCATTTCTCTTCTTTGGAGCTGTCCTCACTAGTAACGTTATACAATCGACTCAGCTTAGAAGGATGAACTACTTCACATCACCTACTGGTTGGTAGTTAGCGTGATGAGTCATTGTGTGTTCAGACAAACTGATGTAGTTAATAAGCACAAATGGTTGGCACAAAGGCTTTCCAGCTTCTCATATCGATTCATAGTATAAACCATCTATAATTCTATCCGAAAGAAGAGCCACTCCTCTACAACATTTTTCTCCTTCATTTTCTTCTTGAAGTACACAGCTGTAGGTTGAAATCCACTTAAATATTTTGTGTGAGTTCATATCTCAGCACAAGGGCATAACTGGTATATACAAAGTAACAAGATATGGAGAAAAGTAGATGGTTTTTGCTGCATGGAAATGAAGGCAAATCTGTGGTTCAAGCAATCCCTTGAGATGAATAATGTCAAACAAGCTGTAAATTTTAATCGAAAATTGCTAACGTTTAATCTTCTGTCAAAAATTAACAAATACTGAGTTGCTTTAAATGATAAAAGAAAAATTTCGTTAATTTTTTTAACACACTACTCTCTAAAAATCCAATTCTTCTCTTTATCTCAGGACCAAACTGTAAATATAATTCTCTTTTTTTGACAGAAAACATTTACCATGGTCAACATGATTTTGTTTTAATGACATAATGACATTAAGCAATCTGTTATTAAATTCATGTGACTTTTGAAAAGGCAGAAAAGTTTGATCATTCAGTTTTAAGTTTTGTAAACAATCAAAAACCGCCTCTTGCCTAATTTTTTTCTTACTTCACTATGCGCCACAAAGCCTTTTCGTTTGCCTTTTTCTGACGGCGAAATCAACAGAACGTATCATAATTTAAACAGATATGATCAATATGTATTTGTAGCTTCACAGTCAAGGTCTCAAGCTAATCACTCATAAACACTAGCCACAATTTAAATCATTATCATGCCATTAGGATAAAAACGAATTTCTGAAGACTTCTATATTCATCTTTACTAAGCTCAAACTTCAGAGAATTGTCCATTAGTATTTAATATGTGACCGAATAAACTTTATGAGGAGCGCACCATTCAAATTTCAGTGAAAATCATTACCATTTCTTAAACAACAGTAGTTTTACTGAAATAATAAACATTTCATGTAGCTAAATCAAAGATCTTATTTACATACACTGGTGTAGAGATCATAAAGCAGGTCTAATCTCTCACTTAAGAATATCAAGAATAATATTAACCACTGTCAGATAAATAAGTGTTATTTTCAAGTTAGATAAAGGAGTAACATCGTTTCGAGAACCACTGAAATCCAGGGAGTAGTGGATGATTGTTTCGTCTTCCTTCTTTGGACTCTTCAACAGTATGCAAACATAAGCTTACTGAGTTCATGGACCCAGGACCTTCAAGTAATAAGGCGAGCCTGTTTATTATTTAACCATTTGAGCTGAAAGCGATATCTTATGAAATCCTACTTCTGTCATTTTGTGATATATGGTACCACCACCAGCAATTGTCATTGATGAACATTTGTCGGCAAAGTTCAACAATAGCGTCCCAGGAGTGCAAACGCTTCAATGACTGTGAACGCATGCTAGTCGTTGGCTAACGGCACCTGTCATTATCATAGCTGAAATATCAACGCTATTCACCAACAAAGCAGCAAAAGTCACTCAGATCCCGTTTTGAAATACTGTTTGGACAATGTTTTAATAGCTCGTTAGGGTTAGGATTAGATTTAAGGTAAGTATTGGGGTTAGGTCTAGGATCAGGGTCATAATTAGCATTAGGGCTGGGTTTACGGTTAGGATAAGGGTTATAATTAGGGTTAGTGTTGAGTTTAGGGTTAGGGTCAGGATTAAGGTTAGAGTTATGATTAGGAATAGATTTTGAGTTTATGTCATTTATTTCAACTTGTTTTCTTATCCACATTTTCCTGGTAAGTAGTCGTCGATCCTCTTACTGGAAACCATAGTAATTCAACCGAGGGCTTTTGGAGAAGACTGCACAACAGGATAAGAGAGATAGACAGCTCACAAGAACAGCTCGTTTGACTTAGAAGCTCATACTCTTCTTTATAACTGGGACGTATTTTTAAGTCATGTCAGAAAAAAGATACCCTGTTTAATGTTTTTTTCATGCATTTTCTTGTAAATATAAGTCATGTTTTGTTCATGACGTATTTTTTATGATTGGTCGGCTGAAGGTCACTTGTCCGTTCGCACCCCTTGGGACGCTATCGTTGAACTTTGCTCATTTGTCTTCATACCAGACCTGATGAATCCCACTGTTTATAATTTCTGACCAGAACTTCAGACAATTTCATTCTTCTTCAGTCGGTCACTAGTGAGCATTAGAGTAATTTTCAGATGTTGCATAGACAGTTATTCGAAATGCTGCATGTTCTTACAATTCGAAGAGAATGAAAAATAAATTCTTCAAAAGGACAGTGAAATTTCAAATTTTCAGATATATTCAGCTGCACTGGAATGAACTAATTAACAAGAAATAGAGAAAATAAAATACTTAAAAACCAATGGAAACAAAATAACTGTTACTACTAAGATCATTCTCAAAGATAAGTTCCAAATGACACTGGTCCTGTGTACCATAAGTTTACGATAACTTTTATCATTGTTTCAGTAATAATAATAATAACAACTTGCTTTACTCCAAAACAGTACTTACGATATAGTGTGAAATCCTCAGTATTTAGTACAATATTGCATCTGATTTATTCGACAACAGCAAAAATAAAAACAAGAAGTAATATTGCAGGATAAACGCAATCAGAATTGATAATGGCAGCTTTTTTGTTATTAGCAGTGACAATAAAGTCAAAAACATACAAAAAGTGTAAAATAGTGATCAGAATGTTAATAGCTAAAACTATAAGTTAAGTGAAATAGGTAGTGTCAACACAGATTACAGATAGGAGAGGATAAAATGAGCCACTCATTTTGCATAATAACATACTAATTCGTAGGTGTCACACTTTCTCTATCACATAGGCTGTGAGTGGACCAAATAGGATATTGTTGAGTTTTTATACTTAGCTGTATGGGCATACAATCTTTTATAATAACTTCTAGTCCCACCTGATGAGATGCAAGGGAAGAGTTGTGAATAAAGAGGGTAGTGAGAGTCAGACAGTATAGATTTGGACCACTTCTCATATGAGTTCAGGTGAGATGACTTAGTGACCCACCACTTGCCCTACTGAAAACCTTCAATACCCTTCATAATATTACATAGTTCTCTCTGAGTAATCCAGGAAAGACTAAGGAGGGCAATATAGAACAATAAGTAAAATGCAAGAGTTGACGAACTATGAAAGTAGAGGTTGCTTAATTCCTGATTATCTTAGCTTCTTAATATAGTAGGTTAGACAGAACATTTTTTAAGACCGACAATTTACGGGATGACTAAGATAGGTCCCACGAAAGAACTATTCCAAGGTATTTAATAGCTTGACTTAGTTTCATTTTCAGCGCACTCTGTGCTATAAGCATCGTGTGAAGGAACCAGTTCGTGTAGGTCACGTTTATGCCTGAATGTGAAATTAACTACATGACATTTTAAGGAATTTAAAGTAAGGCCAATTAGAGTAAACCACTGGCTTCTGTCTACCAAAAGCTATTCAGACTGAAACAGTCAGGCTGAGACGTAACTGGAG